TATAAAAAAGAATTATACATATAATATAAATAAATAGAAACTAAATTTCTATCATACAAGTGAAAATATGTTGAATAAATTTAGAAATCCTTCGCGTGAAACTTTAAATTTCTATTACGATGCTATTCCATATAAACTTTATTTATACGAATAAAATTTTTTTGCTGAAATGCCTGATTATTATGTAAGCTTTTATTATCGTTGAATATTATTTTTATAAAAATAAAAAATATTCTATTATCTATTCTATATCATTCTTATATCTTTGATACAAAATAAATTAATTTATCAAATCAGTAGACAATTATTGTGCAAAATTGTTTCAAACTTTTAATATTTGATACATTATTATACATTTTAAAATTTGCTTGTGCTTGATGGATTCAACGGTGTATTTTTAAATTTCTAAAAATCATAGGATGAACAGTTATTCTGATTTTGGGCGTAGAAACAATTGGAATTACAATAATAATAATAATTAGAAAAAAAAAAAAAAGGAAACAATAGATTCTCTATTGCCATATGGTTCATTCATTTGTGCATCACGATGTACCTCGACCAATGTTTCGCTTCTCGTTAATGTCACGAAATGTTATCCCACTTTTATTATATCGCTTAAGAAGCATGACTCACGTGTGTTTAATAGTCTTTGTATACACGAACCATTGTCTTTTTGCCGCGTTTAAAACACACGAGTTCAGTTTCCTTTCACCTCGTCAACGCGTACTATCTTGTGTCCATGTCGAATGACTAAGAACCTTTGTCTCTTTCTTTCGCTTCTTCTACGTCATTCCTAATCATTATTAATTTTCTTGTGACCAACGAACAAAGATAGATACCATCCTATTATTATTTCCATTAATAGCTTATCGTCGAGTTTCTTAATTTAAAAATAAAATAAAATAAAATAAAATAAAATAAAGGAAAATCCTCGTAATAGAGGATCATATTTTTCGATCCAAATTTCATTCACGTCCCTCCCCCTTCACGAAATTCTTCTTAATTCTTCGCCTTGAAAAGCGACAGACCGGGACAGATCATCTTGGATGCTTGGAAAGGAAGTCTGCGGAAGGAAACGGGGGTACCAACCAAGGGATGCTTTCTTGGTAGACCAGAGGAACGTCGGTCGGTCGTTGGATCGATGCCCGGTTGGCAACAGGAGGGTGGTTCTGCACGACGAGCAAGGACGTTCGTGCGGCACTCTCATTCCCTCTTCCTCCGCCCTTTCTCCCCTCCCTCCCCTCTTTTTTCTCTTCTCATCTCTCCTTTCCTCCTCCTCCTAGTTTATTATTATTATTATTATTATTCTTGTTCTCCGTTACAGCTGTGCAAGGGGTGGCACGGTTCTCCGCCGGTTTCCCTCGTGAATCGATATTTCGTTTCAGAGGAGAGATCTCGCATTAACCTTTCCGCTGCGTTGCACGCGCCACAAGCGTCTGACGGCTCTCTTCGCCACCTAACCAGTCATAGAGGAGGGGTTGGCCGTTGCTTGTCGTTTATTTTCCCTTCCCCCAAATGCCGATGAAAGCGGTGTATACTCTTTTGATGAAAAAATATTTCTACCCGGGAATAACCGACTATTGGAAATTATTTAGGGTTTCGAAACGTGTAGAATTTTACCAAGTGTGTTTCATTCTTGACACCGGGGATAAAAAAAGAAAATAAACTGAAAGGGAGTTGGTTGCGATTAATAATTTTGTAAATGTTACACCAACCAGGTCGAGATAAAACCTATCGACTCTCCCCTTTTTTTTTTTTTTTTTTTTTTT